TCCATTGCGCGGACTCGTGGAAACATGATGTCTTAAGTGGGAGGGGCCTCCGCCTCCGCCAAGTTGAAGAAGGGAGGGGCTCAGTTGCGCGTGGGAGAGCTGGAGCCCCTGTATGAATGGATGAAGGATTATATCATTCGGGATCAAGGAACGGGGAACTCGTGGGCCAGGTGCAGTGCTGATGCCCTGCTAGTGGGCAGATACCTTATGTGAATTAAATAACTGGATCTCGGGGTATTCATCTTGAATACTACATCCCAGATCCTCCGGGATCCCAATCTGTTTGAAAGTGATGATAAACACCTTTTGGGGCCTGGGATTTTATACAATGGTGGCTGACAAACCCTGCAGAAGGCAAGGTTCTCGTCATAAGTTTCAGAAGGTGCCTGCATCATCGAAAATCAGTACTTGAGTTACTTAACTATTGTAGGATTTTCAAAGACTTGTCATGGCAGACGGCCTCTTCACTACGTAAGTGCTATCAGACGCACAGGTAGGTTGGCCTGTCTCACTCCGAAATATGCGGGGGGAATTCCAGGCATGGGGCCGTCACACAAACACCCGCAAAATGAATGCGTTTAAACATTTTGTCATCTAAAGGTGCTCGTTTCGACAGCTTTCCATACGAAATTAACTGACCTCCATTGCCAGTTTTGGTCCCATTCTCCAGTCGTGAATGCAAGATGTAAAGTGACAGGGGCTGGTGTAGATGGCGGCAGCGCTGTCGAAGCTCTCCAATGTCGAGGCCGCAGCGCTCTCTGGTGACGTCCGGTCCACGCTCCGTCCAAAGCCTAAGCTAGCATCATAAGGTTAGGTTTTTTAATCTACTTCAATTGCGACGAATTGCACCTTGCTTCGTGGCGGGCCGTGTGACCCTTCCCCCCCCCCCTCCCCCACATCTCCGCCAAAGGGGAAGAGCCTGATCACGTGACTATTCGCTTGTCGCGTGCCTCAGAGCTCAGATGAACCGTACGACCCCGAATTCGTTGCTGGAGCTGCTCAATGACTTTCTGCGATCTAGAATTCATAACGCATTTTATTGAAGGACATTCTGATGCTCAGAAAAACCTTTCTGGAGTTTCACAAAGGACGCTTGGAGATTCGGAATCAATGGTGCTTTTTGGAAACGACGTTTCAGAATCCGGCGTTAACTTTGGTTTTTCACTTTACGCGAGGCTGCACCGCGTTCCATATTCAGCCTAGCCATCCACGCCCACGTGTGCGACGGCGTTTCGGTCCTGCTTTTGTGACGTCCTTCCCGACGCGGTAGGTTAACCCAACGACACCGGAGCCTCCAGTTTGAATGACGATGCTGCCAGGGCTTGGGACTGGCCCGTGTTGACAAATAGCGTTTGTTTTGGCGCCTTGCGTGCGGCGAGGGTGTGTGGGAGGGGAGGGAGCGGCATCATGGGCCTGTCCAGATTCTAGTGCTCAACAACGTACATGGTATCCGTGTCCTAGGCACGTGCGTGGGAATAAAAACATCGCCCCAAATGATTTCAGTTGTATATGCTGTCGGGATTTGTGCATGTGCAGGAACGTAAGGTGTTCGGCAACCGCCATGTCGCTTCAAAATGTTGACTTGACCTTTCATATAGGTCGTTCTGGGATCAGAATACTCAAAGAAGCTATGTATCTGGCCATCATGTATCGGAAAAATCTATACATGGTCTTTTGTGACGTCATCACCCTACCTTGAATACGTCTGTCACAATGATTTAACTCACTCCCAACACGAATTTGACGTACGGAATCCCAGCGCGCCGTCACCGTCTGTTCGGGCGGGTGAGTTAGCCCCAAGGCCTAGGGCTGGGGGCCAGTCGACGCGCCGGCGGCCATGGTTACTGGGTCAGACGTGTTCGGTTACTGACCTGGCTGCCGAGCCCACTAGGTCACGGCTACCAGCTGTCGTCACCGGCGCTACGCCATGGCCCGTAAGGGACCGAAGCGAGGCTACAAAACCGGCTCACGCGCGACATCCGGCACTGTAGGTCAGGAAGCGGGGCTGGGGTCCTGGTGTCGGACCTACAAGATCAGCACATGCGCGACAGCGGGCACCGCAGGTCGAGATATGGGGCTGGGGCCCTGCAGTCGAGGCTGCATGACCGGAACACGTGCGACAGCAGGCAACTTAGATCAGGAAGGGAGGCTGGGTACCCGCAGTCGAGGCGGGCCCTGCACAAGGCCGTCAATAAAACTAGGTCTGGTGCGCACGAGATACTGATGAGTGGTAGGGGGACAACTCCGTATGTTTGTTAAGCGGTTCAGACCAGAGAACTAAGTAGCTGCATTGGGCGCTGTGCTTAATGGGATGTGTGTTACAAGGTATCAACACAGCCGCTTATCTAACGATGCGTAGAGCGATCGTAAAGAAAAACCATTGGGAATCACTTTGCGATCCAGTTACCTGCAACACATTCTCATAACTGGATATAGACATGAATATAAACTCACTGGCAACAGTGGCCTCCGCGTGATTGACTGGTGATTGAAGGCACTAAAATATAATGTATTTAAATCATTTGCCCCACAACTGCCAGAGCACTTATCTATGACGCATTTAAAAGTGGCAGGAGTGATTATGAGTCGAGTGGGCGATCCACGAATCCAACATCAAATGTAAAAGATTCCCCAGCACCAGCTTTCAAACGGTCTTCTGCTGCGTCATACCGGGCTTCCGGGAAGGTCGCGACCTTGCCTATCGCCGCCAACACCACGACCTTGAGATCCCATGACGTCATCGATGACCGCCGCGACGCTGTCAGACTGTCCGACATCAGCCGGATCCTTGCGTACCTTGTCCTGGGCACGATCCTGGGCTTCTGCTCGAGGCCCTTGAGGTCGGGCCCGCTCCTCACCAGCATCCTGCGCGCGCCTGGAGAGATGTCAGCAGGATCCTTGGTTACCTTGTCCTGGGTATGCTCCTGGGCCACTGCTCGAGGCCCTCCAGATCGGGCCCGTTCCTCATCAGCATCCTGTGCGCGCTGGGCGACATATGGACGACATGACGCTCAGGATGCGGTGCTGATGCAGTTCGGAAATGTCTCACCTCAGTCCCGCTAACATTGCTCACCGTCTTATGAGTATCTGAATTTATCCGGCGTTTACGTCTGGGCACGCCTGTATTGCAGACATTGCGAACCTCCCCTACTTTTCTATCTCGGTACCATTTCCGTGAGTCAACTAATGCGGCTTCAAGTATTCTTAAATGTAATTGGTACCGGCAATTTTAGGGCAAATTTAGACCATTGACCGCTAACTTTGGCATGAACAGTTGCTTATGCTGGTTTCTGGACACCTCCAACCGCGCTGAAATTTTTTCACGGTCAGATTCCCTCGATACGCTGGCTCCGCCATCGCGCCGCCTCTCTGGGACGTGGCCCGATATTAACGCGTCGGAATTTGTTGGCGTTAAACGTACAGATGTTACGCATTCGCTGCTGACAAATGGCCTTTTCCCGGCCCGAAAGGCCGGGCTCACACATCAGGCAGTGTTAAACACCAGAACATGCTGCCTGGCGTCCTTGGAGACTGCAATGCCCGAAAGCTATGTTGAGGCCTGTTAACTGCATCTTAAATCGCAGAGTAAAATCTGGTCCATGATGAGCTGACGGTATCCGGGAATATCTTCCAGCAGACAATATCAGTAACGGGACGATGATGATCAGAATAGTGTCCTCAATGCAATCATGCAATGGGCGTTGCATGGAGATGAATATTTGACAAGTCGAATGACTCCAACTTTGAGCCCACTGCAGAGCTCCTAAGGAGATTCGCCGTCGCCGTATGCAAATGCAGCTGATAGTTGCATGCACTCCACGGTACTCACCGTCTTGTGCTCAGCCGCAGACCAGTTCATGGTTTGGTAAGCGCTCTCGACCTTTTCCTCTCGGACGAGATTCTCCTGCTCTTACCTGCTCTGATATTCTTGACAACAGCTTTCACTTGGTTGCTACGGGTCAACTGTTGTCTGTTTGCGTATCTAACTTACGTGATCTTCAGCTTCAAACACGCCACGTTACTCATTAGTAATCACGAATTTAGGATTTCCATAGCAGTCAGCGTATTTTGAAAACCTATCACCACCCTCATCGTCATCGGCGAATGCCCTGGTCGGTCGGCACGCTTCTCCTTGCTTGAATCAGTGCAGCAATTCTTCTGCGGCTAGTGCGCGGATGGCTGCCGCGTACACACGCAACACAATGTGGGGGCGACAAGCGGGTAAAGTTTGTAGTTCTTGTAGGTAAAGTTCTAAAAAAATGGTTGTAAAAAAGTTTTTAAAAAAGTTTGAATAATAATATAAATAATTTAAATAAAGTAAAACTAAAAAAATCAAAAAGTAAAAAAAGTTTGCAGGTAAGTTCTTGTAGGTAAAGTTGGCCAAGCGTTCTCGAGAAACCGTGCACCTTGCACCATCTTCCCTCGATCCCTTAGACACCTTGCCAAACATGCCATGAAACCAAAGCCACACTGGAGCCAACGGTAGTTTTTTTGCGGAAATAGGTCGACGAGCTACACACCGCCAGGACAGGGTCGCCCCTGTTCCAGCCAAGCTCCATTGGCCAGCTGCCAAATGATCGTCAGAGCGAGCGTTAAACGTCGCTCTATGTTCTCCCGGGAGCGACCTTGCGATGACTCAGTGACCGGCGGCGATATGAGAGGTGCCCATGCCATCCCACTTGTCTGGTGTACTCTACAGCCAACCCGGGCGCCCGCACCCCTCTCTGGCCGCCGCTGGCTGACCCACTCACTTGGCAGGGCCTTCCGGTCCGACGAAGCGACTCCGCCCGGTCTGAAGCCCCCTGCGCCGTCCAGGTGACCCCGCCCCGGCCGCCGTCGGCCACCGGCGGCGGTCCGGTGTCCTCCCACTGGGTCAAGTTCTCTCGCCAGAGCCGTGAGTCACGCCTTGGGCGGCGGCCAGGAGCCCTTCCCCCAGCACCGCCCCGGGTCTGAATCAGGCCGACGGCGCGCCGCCGCCCCGGCCGGCGCCGCCAGGAGATATTTGGCGAGACCGGCCGGCGGTGCAGACAGTCGAGCGTCGGCGGTGGTCAGGTCAGGTCGGGTCAGGCGAGTGTGCAGCGGCGAGGCAGAGCAGCGCTCCGGTCAGCTGACGAGGACAGGGCAGCGACACAGGTGAGTTAAATGACCGGCCTTGCCTCCGGGCCGGTCATTGTGACGGACGGTAAAATTCCCAGCGGGTCAACGATCCAGCTGGGTGCAGGGGCGCGGTAACTGGAGGACTCCGAGGGCTAAGCCTCCAACCCCCCCCCCCCCCCCCATTACCATTTCCTCAACGCTCTGATGGTTTAGCATTGCACATAAAGACGTTCTTTGAAAAAGATAAAGGGGCTATTCCTCATCCCCCTTCCCCTCATCCAATTTAGGACATCATTCCCTCTGCCTGGGGCTTGGGAGGATGGGGAAGGGCACACAGGTCAGAACAGCTGAGCGCATGTGTCGTCCAAGGTAACATTGCACCACTGGTGCAGTCTCTTATCCATGATACAAGTGTTTACATTCGTAGTAGTAAATGGCCTTGGTCCTAACGACTAGCACCATTTATTTTTTACTCCGGTTGGTGATACGGTCCTGGTGCCGTCGTCCTGTAGAGTAGGGCGATCATGGTGGTGATGAGTAATGAGACGCGTTTCAAGGCGGATAAACTGTGGGTAAAAGACGCTCAGATGCCCAGATACGTCGAGTCAGTCTGTGAAGGTTTGAAACTGCCGGAGCGGCAGATCACCGCTCAGCCGACGCACCTAAGCGGACGGTATTGGCTGCATTGTACAGCGATCACGGCCCGGCGTGGGCGATTTCAAATGGAGGACTCGCCGGCGCACAACGAGCCAGCACATCCCCAACCAAATAGGTCACCTAGTCAGCTGACGCTTCCACACGTGTGGATCAGCTGGGAGACACCGGTAACGCGCACTGTGAGAGCAGTGGACGAGAGAAGTCCCATGGGTGTACGATACCTCCACTTTGACAACCATTGTGCAGAAGCTCTCAGTGCCTCCTCAGGAGATTCGTGACGATGCTCGAAATGCTTTTGTCCACGTTTGAAGGCCCTCTCCCGTTGTTGAGCTACACATGGATGCTTTAATGCACTTCAGCTGTGGACCAAAGCCACCAAGGTCTTTCCGACCTCATGATTACATGCATCGGTAGACCCACAGGACTGCGATTGTCCCACTCCGCTGTCAATCATGAGGCATAGCGGAGTACCTAGTCACCTACACACCTCTCTGACATCACTGCTGGATTCAAGCTTTTGTCATGACTCGTGATCTTGCTGTAATGACACTGTTGTCCTTCCCTGTCCTGCCTCTGCCATGAATATTCTGGATTTCGCGATAAGCCTCCACACCAGATGGCACCACCATGATGGCCCGATCGTCTCTCTCTTCGCAGGCAGGCCCCCGCCATGACGATGCTGGAGCCCGAGATTCGCCCGCTGCACGCGGTGTGGCCGCCCAAAGAGTACAGAAGACCCAAGGAGCCGTCCTTCTTCACACGCATACCAGGTGAGGATGACCTTACATACCTTGGTGAGCATACCTTACAGCACAGCGCGTTATTGGCTTGCCGGCCGCTTCCCTGACGTGTCTTCAGCTGCGAGGCTGCGCCTTCAACGACCTCTACGTCGAGCCAGCTCCATACAAGCGGGTGTTTGATCAAACAGTGCTGTCAAGTTTTCTGAATGTGCCGACACCAGAAAGTGGTGTTGAACAGACCAAACGATTGCCTTGTGGGTAACCTCAACTTTTCCTTAAGTTGACCAAAAAGCTAACAATCGCGTTATGTTTTGTAGCGAAGGAAAATGCGACCGTAACGCGATCTCTTTCCTGCCTACAATAGCTCCTCCAGCTCCCTTCGCTCATAAAGCATCGTCACCTATGCATAGGCATACTCAAGCTCATATACCCATGCCGAGAGCACTCAGCATCTGCTGCTACCGCTGAAATTTTACACTGTGACAACAGACGGTGGGAATGATCGGTTTTGGTGACGCACGCAACAGCCTCGCTTCTATCAGCGGGACGCGCCGCCTGCCAGCCGGGCCCACGGCGGCACCGCCATGCAGACCCTTCGCTGATTCACCGCCCAGGGATTGGCGGGGCAGGGAGGGAGGGGGGGGGGGGCGGGCTGACAGTCAGCTGGCGGGTCAGCTGACACCGTGTCAGTCAGCTGGCACACCAGCTGGCGCCGCGGCGCCGACTAAAGCCCGCTGTCCCTGCTGATGACTCTGCTGACGAACGATTGCGGATGGTACAAATTTTGACGGCTGTTAGAATCTGGTGACGACTGGTAAAGGCTGGTGACCGTCTGACGGCGGTGAGGGTAACTTTATGACGGTTCATGACTGGGTTTTGCTGGTGGGGGTCCACTGTTCGGACTTGCCCCGTGCTTTGGGTGCAGCTTCCATGGTATAATGCGGCTGCTTATCGTTTTGTTCTGCGAGACGAAGAGAGCGCGGCATCTATCATCATTGGGGTAAATGTGTGGGGTGAAAACGTTATTCCATGTGGGGGGAACGAGGACGGGGAAGAATGGGAGTCGTTCATGTCTGCACTGGCACAGCACATATCTGTCTGACAAATGTGAACGAGCGAGGCCGATATTTCGGCGAAACTGACGTGTTTGTAATTGAACCTGTTGTGGAAATTCTGCATTACTTCGATCAAGTGACGGTAAAAGGTTTTGTGCCCCGGTATAGGTTTTACGTGACGTCACGTAAAACCCTTGCTGTCCGGGCTTCTCCGAACACCAAAGGGCGCAAAATCTATGAGTATGACGTCATGACTGACGTTAACGGCAAATATTTGTTGTCGTCCGGGTCGCTACGAGCACACCCTTGTTTTTACCGTGCTACGATTTGCGGGATCCACGTACACGAACGGCATGCGGCTCGGAGGATAACGTAAGAGTTGCGTGTGGCTCTCGAACTTCAAGAGATGCGCACGTGTCACACCGCATGGCATACTCACACATGCCACAATTTGAAAACCGCGCACGATTTTCGCGCAACGTCCGCGCTACCTGGCGCATCTCGGATCACTCTAACTTGATTGGATACGTGGGGCGAATCCGAATCTGGGACATCCGGCCGAGCGGCGCCAGCCAAAGCGGCTCTGGCAGCCAAACTCCCGAGGCTTAATTATGATAGCTGAAAGCCAAGCAGGTGCATCAGCGCCTGCCCAAACAAATCCGTCATTTTTCAGGATGCTGCGGCTGCGTTTGTGAGGCGGCAGTCTAGAGGCTAGCCAATATAGACTTTGAAAAGCCAATGAGCGCCTCCCTCGAGCCTCACTTATTTGTGTTTATGTCTGCTGTTAATCGCATAGGTATATCTTAAGAAACGCGGTTGCTTAATAGCATAGTCAAAAGTCTTATGAATTTTGAGGCTGTTATATTATTTGGTGTTTTAGTAAAACAAAGCTAGCAAAATAGCAAGCTAAAGTGGTTGAAAATAACAAATGAGCCCGAAAGCCAAGTATTTTCTGTGTGACAACCATTATGGTATCCAGAATGTCACCGTGCTGATGTCTGTTTGCAGAAGCCGACAAGACAGTTGCATGGCCGCCACGAAATGAGGTCAGTCTATACAAGAACGCGCATTTGATGTGGACTTCCAAAGTCGCATATGCTGTGACAAATCTCGCGTGGTATGCCTATCACTGTGCAAACGTGGTATGCCTATTACTGTGAATGCGTGGTATGCCTGCCACTGTGAATACGTGTTATGCCTATTGCTGTGAAAACGTGATATGCATATTACTGTGAATACGTGGCATGCATAGTGCTGTGAATACGTGGTATGCCGATTACTGTGAATACGTGGAACACTGCAAGATGGCGTAATTTTAGCGGAAGCTGATTTAGAGTCGGGACTCGTGCAGCATTGTATAATATTCATGCCAAACTAACTTGACTACAATGTGCGTACAAGCAATGCGTGTCATGCAAAAATATTCCTAACGCGCACGCACACTCGCCGCGCGCCCACTATAGGCGGGACCAGACAGCGGTCGCCGATGGAGGGTCCGTAACCAGCGACCGGCTCGTTTCAGAACGACTCTCGCTCGTCGTCAGCATGCAGCGCCCCCAGCGACCCCAGCCAGACAGTGGTCCTCAAGCAGGAGCTCCCTGTCCGCCAGGAGGCACCGCCGGTTAGTATCCGTCATATCGGCTCACGCTCCGTGGGAAAATGCTCCGCTGTAACTTTTTACTGAAAAGAGACGCGTTAGTTTTGTGCAAATGCACGACACATTTCCAGCTCACAGCCACATCCTAACTCTATAAAACGCTGAAAATGCTTGCTTTCGACTTCTGTCATGGAACGATTCATCTTCAGCCCGGTCATGTTGGCACGGGCCCTATTGACTGTGCCGATATTTCTCGTCCTTGCACCATTGAAAGCGAACGATGCGCGGTGTTGGCTACCGGGCTCAGATTCAGCAACGTATAATGGGATGTTTTGTGTTAAATGGTTTAGCCATTTTGCATTGCGTACACTTATTGTAACTGCGGTTGCGCGTTCCTCCTGCTCGCGTCGCGCAACTCCGCCCTGTCAGCATGTGCTGGGGTAGGATTGAGCGAGACAAAACTGATGTCAGCGAATGTCGTGCTGACCCGACCTGACCTGACCTGAACGACCCCCTAGGGTACCAAAGCACAGCCAGTGGTGACGGCCCTGCCCCGCGCCCGTGGTTACCGTCAAGTGGGCCCCCAGAACTTGTCCAAACAAGCGACGACCAGCCCCCTGCCCGCATCCAACGCCCCAAGCTCGGCCAAAGCACGTGAAGTGTATATAATACACACACACACACAACACACACACACACCCAACACACACACCACACACACACACCACACACAGCACACGCACACACACACATCACACACACCCACACACACACCACATATATATATATATATATATATATTATATAGATATCTCTCTCTCTCTCTCAGCCTCGTCTCAATCGCCTCTCCTCTGGCTCTCTCTCTCTCTCCTCCTCTCACTCTCTCCTCTCTCTCATCTCTCTCTCTCTCCTCTCCTCTCTATTCTTCTCTCTCTCCTCTCTCCTCTCTCTCTCTCTCTCTCTGCTCTCTCTCTCCTCTCTCTCTATCTCTCTCTCTCTCTCTCTACTATCTATATATCTATATATAGCGACGACCAGTTTTATATACATATATATATATATATATATATATATATATATATATAAACTGTACAATGCTGCATGCAAAATACTTCTTCAGTCTACATTCATAAGCCGTTGATATGATCACAAGACTGCATACAGTGGTGAGCTGCGGTAAACCACGACTGCATACAGCCGTGAGCTGCAGTAAACCGCGACTGCTTACGGTGGTGAGGTGCGATAAACCACGACTGCATATAGCTGCGTATAACCACGACTGCGACAATCCAAACTTGTATGCAAACAAGCCTCAGTGTGCCCCCCCCGCACGCCGCCCCGCCGTCTCCGGCCGTTGGCTCATCCAGGGGCTTCTGGCCCTTGCCAGCCGACCCTAGTTCTGGCCGACTCCAGACCCAGTTCCAGCAGCGCGTGTGTACTCTGGGGCAGTCGGCCAGACCAGGAATAGCCCGCGGCTGAATTCCCAGTCGATGGCCGATACCAGCCCTCCGCGGGCCTGGCTGAGGGGGGAAGTAGGGGAGGGGGGAGAGCGCGCCGGATGGTGCCGGATGGCTGTCGGCGCCTGTCGGCTGACAATGTCGGGACGTGAAGACCTCTGATCGCCGACCGTTTTAGTCTGAGGGATTAGAGAGGTAGTCTGGAGTGTTTGTCTGCTGTTTCGCAGAAGTACGACGGCAGCCGCACTACAGTCGAGAGTGTTTCAAAATATCGCTTAATTGTGCATTTGAACTCAATGTCGCATTGGGGTCTAAGCAAGTTCAAATTACTACGTCGATGCGCTTTGATGGCACACTTACGTTCCATTAAGCACGGGTATCTAACACATCGAGCGCATGCGTGCCCATGCGTACCCACATGCGTGCCCCTAGAGACGCTTGCGTGATGTCTTCAGTGCGAATATAAAACTCAAAATGGTTTGCGGGGCAAAGTCACGTGCAAAAACGTTATTAACACAAGAAAATGCCTTTCAAATGCACGGAGCTTTTCGAAGAAGTCTATTGTCAGTGGATACCGAGCACAAGCACTCATTTTTTTCTTCATTTTTGGTGGAGGGAAGGGGGGCTTCACTGAATTCACACGTTCAGCTTAGCTTTGTCTCTTTTCAAGCCAAAAGTCCGATGGCGTTTTTGAGAGGCCAGTAAACCATCACAATATCTTCGCTGGTGATTTCAGGCGTAACCAATCACACTGTGTACTCTTCCAAACCAGATGACTGAGCCTGAGAGTTTTAACGGGAGAGTCTGACTGATCGATGACTTTCTTTCCAGAGGGTTTCGCCGGCCAGGCCCTGCCCAACAACTACAGCGGCTACCGCGTGGCGCCGGGCGTGCTGCACATGTCTCCGGAGGCGAGCCGGTACATCAGCGACCTCTGAGTCGGCCGTACGGGCCCCCACACAAAACTGATCCAGGTGGCGCGCGCGTCGTGTCGAGGGGTGCCGGACTGAAGCGTTGTGGACGCGGCGCCGCGCTTCGGGGAATCATGGCGGAGTTGTGCTTTTCCGCGTGTGTACAGTGACGATACAGGGCGGTGTTCCGTTCACAGGATGGAGGTAGTGCCGGCAGCGGCGCGAAGCGTGCGAACGTGTTTAATTCGTCGTCCTAGGTCGCAATTTCGTTTGCGTGATTTCCTAAGCTGCGGCCTCATGGCAGTAGTTGGCTTTGAGCCAAGAATGTCAGGACAGGGCAGAACCGTGACCACCTGGAGCGCGCTATGGAGGATGTGCGAGGCGGCCGGCAGCCGCTGCACGTCCGATGCAGGGCTGTCTGCGGACAGGTGGACGATTCGTGAAATGTGGTCTTTCTTCAAATAAACCAACGTGCAACGTTTGTGAGTGCAACGCACAGAGCGGAAAAAGACGAGCTTCCTTTGAATTCCTCAACTCCATGTTTACGTGGTAGTGGTGCCCACATGTTCACTACACGCAACTCGTCTCATTCTCCTCGGCCCGCCTGCTCGGTGAGATGACTACCCCCCTGCCCGGCTACACGGCTGCCCGGCTACAGGGCTACACGGCTGCCCCGCTGCCTCGCTGCCCGGCTGCACGGCTACATGACTGGACGGTGTCGCGCAGGCTGGAAAAAAAATCTTGAAGTAAAACGGTGCGGTCGAAAAAAAGATCACGCACAAATGTCTAGACTCCTGTATACGGACAGAGATATCACTTTTGGGACGATGGGGCACAATTGTATTGCCTACTGAGTTGTAAACCGGTGTTTCGCTGTCAGAAAGTGCGAACAAAAACTATTACAGGTGGCGTTTACTTTCACAGGCAAGGAACACGTTGGATTTTCGAACGATGAGGTCTGTGCCTACTCTTTAACACCACGCTACACAAAAGGTGGTAGCATGGGGTTGTAAGTGCTGAGTTTAGTGGAGTGTGACTGCCAGCAAAGCAGCCGTCTTCCGGTCACACCCCGACGACCTAGCCCCACCTCTAGGTCACCCACACCGTGACCTGGCCAGCCCCGCGGCCGTCACGTGACCCTGCGCCGAGGTCAGGTACTCGGTGGTGCACTGCAGCACACCGCGCCCGCTTCACAACGGCCTGAAAGCCCGGCATTAGTCATCAGCTATTTCGGAGTTGTTGCTAAGCAGCCGATCAACAACAGAACGGGGACGCGAAGCGCGGGACGACGTGCATGTCTGAGTGCATCAAAAAGGCCATCCTTAGCCACAGCCATAACATGCAGCCTAATGTAAAGCGTCGTTGAAGTCTTGCCAACTGCACTCCCACAAACTGCAAAAAGGTAGACGACGTCGATTAAAAAAAGACTCGCGCATTACGACCGCAGCTCCAAATGCCTCAACTGATCCGCCCTCGCCACCGCCGCTTCTGTCTACGCCGAGGCCAAGGGCCCACAGGCAGACATCCGGGGTCGCGGTGGAGTCCGGACTGCGCCGGCGGCCGGGTCCACGGTATCGCCGGTGGCCACGCCCTCATGCTCAGGTGATGCATAGTCTCACCCGACACGGCTGGAGCCGGTCATGTTCTCGGCCCCCGGGTGCGCGCGGCTTCGGACCTGACGCAAGGCCGGAGCTAAACACACGTGAGCGAGTTAAAAACGGGGGGGGGAGGGGGGGCGACCAGGAAAATATATTAGACGAGCTAAACACGGCGTGGGGAGGGGAAGGGGGGGGGGGGGTTGACTGAAGAGAAATGGGACGAGCTAACAAAGGTGCGGTCCGAGAAACAGCTGGGGACGAGCAAGCATGGGGGCGGTCCGGGAGACGCATGATAAGAGCTAAACACAAGGGGGGGGGGGAGACAAATGAGACGAGCTTAACACCGTGGCGGCGTTCCGGGAGACGTATGGGACGAGGTCTTGCTGCAGCTGGTACGGTTAGGAGCCCCAGTAAACATACATGACACTGCCAATGCCACGAGAGTGGCGGTGCGCTGGCGCCGCGGTCGTGAGCACGGCTCCAGTGGACTGTCCTTAAGAGAGAAAAAGAGCAAGAACAAATGTGGCCTGCGTTCACTGTTCTGATTCTCGTCAATGAAGTGGATGTCAAGTGAATGACTTTTGCTCATTGCGTGATGCCCGTTTTCATGTTGTTGTTTTGTGTGATAAAGAAGTACGCAATGCGGACGGGACATGGGTACTGCAGCTTGAGATGCAGGCAAATGCTCTGGAAAATGGAATTACCCCACAGGTTTGATGTACTGTTTTGGTGGAGTTATATTCTAGTATCGATAATAACGCATCAAACCATTTTGGAATGAGCCAGTATTATCTGGATGACGCTCCCAATCAATGTTCGTGACGAATAGATCGAGATGCCCACCAGTTCCGCTGCAGATGTCTGCAAGATTGAAAGGGCGCATGCAAAGCAGGAAGGGTTTGTATTACCAGCGTATGCTGATGGTGTGGACCAAGACTCTGTAATCCATAGCATATAGACGCCAAATGCTACATGCTGGTAGGGATGAAAAACGCTGTATGATGATGGGAGTGATGAACGCTATAAACTGAGGATGTGAAGCTAAGGTATGACTCCACTGCTAGTCGCAGTTACAGCTCCATCACCAGTCTTACACAAAATCATATGTTTGGGTGAACAAATGGACAGAAGGATCCATATGGCATCCAAACAGCTTGTGCACCGCTCCGCCCGTGGTGTGAACCATAGCTCCGCATATGAGGTGATACACAGAGACTTTAATGGTGTGATATCAGTCTATGATGATACACTGGTGTGAGACCACTTGAAAAGGAGTCCGCACCCGCAAGCACAAGCTGTGGGTGCACACCTGGGGTCGGGACTCCTCGCAGCGCCCCTTCGGACGACACGCACGCTCACGAATCGCCGCCTCAGTCCAGACCCCTGTCATTGTATTCCGCGTGCATTGAGCATGTCGCCACCCACGAAACAATCGCGAAATCTGCAGGATGCGGCGAACGCACGCAGGGGACGTCGGACCGTGATATGTATCCGAACGCCGTCTCATCCCGACGATGCTGTAAGCTTTATTGACCAATCACCGGCTCCGCACACATGTCGCAGCCAATCATGATCCTGAAATTCAGAGTGACGATCCCGGACACGCCCGCAATCTTGCGACGCGGCTCCATCGGCTCGGCCCCGTGACCGCGACCGCCCTGCCACCTGGCGGCTGTCTTCAACACTGCGGCTATCGAGCGCCCGGAGCGCGCGACCGAGTCGCGGCTGGAGCCTGTCCGCGTGGGGCAGATGAATAAACAGCCGTGCGGGTGGTGAGCGCTGGTGTCAGGACTTGTACGTACTCACATCTGAGCTGTGCCCTCCATCACCAACAGCTGTCCACAAGTTGCGACCTATGACGTCGGAGGTAAGTGCGTCAGTACAGCTCGTACGGTTTGATGGATTGTGGCCTATGTATGATGTCGGTACTTGTGACGTCATAGGTGCTTGTGACGTCGGTGCTTGTGACGTCATAGGGAGCAACGCATGAAGGTACAGGGGCTGAAGTTGAAATGGCGATGACTAGGATCCGGCACATTTTGGCCTCTGGCGTGCGTTTAACCGCAAATTGGGCTAAAATTCAATATCCTTTGGCAGCGCATCAATGAAAGCATATTCGAAGGGTCCGAATTCAGCGTCGAGTACCGATTCCGCTTAAAATGATTCTAAGCCACATACAGCCCGCTGATTACAAAAAATGAGAGCCATTTTTGTTCGAAAAGACCCACCTCCAAAGGTCAACTAGCCATGTAGGCAGTCCGCACCGCATCTGTATGCATAACAATTCAAGGTCGATTGCAGTGAAAGAAAGGTAAAAAAAAAAAACAGTTTCCAATGTCAAAGCACGGGGTAGTATCCTATTGCCGCTATATGAGACGGATTTTTACAAATAAGGCGTCATTAAAAAGCACGTTGTCTATTACAGCCTCGGATTTAAAGAATACTAGAATCAAAGTAATATTAAAGGTCAAATTAAAGTTCAAAGGACACGGCGGCGCCACATTACCACCGCATGGGGCTGATCCATCCTTATCAGGCGTCATTAGAAAGCCCGTTATCAATTCCAGTCTGCGATATCAAGACGTCAAGCTTCAATGTCGCTTGCGGGGAAAAACCTCAGAGTAAATTTTCAAGGTGAAAGGACGATGTGGCGTCGTATTACTGCTGTATGCGCCGGATATGCGTAAATAAGGCGTCATAAGAAAACCAGCTGTCGATTACAGCCTCAGATTCCAAAAAAATCTGAGTCAAAGTCAAAATTCAGGGTCAAATTCAGGGTCAAAGGACGGCGTAGCGACGCACTGCCGCTGTATGGACTAATCCGTATAAATAAAGCACGATTAGAACGCCTGTTGGCGTTTCCAGTCTGTGTTTTCAGATGTGAACAGAGTCAAAGTGAAAGTTCAAGGTCACACAAAAAGATCAAAGAATGGAGGTAGCGCACTGCGGTAGCCAGCGCCGCGCCACAAATGTGGCACGACAGCAGACTTTCTAACGGCGCCTTATTTGTACAAATTTGTCCCACACAGCGTTGTACGGGCAGAGGCGATGCCAAGATCCTGATTGCCTGCCCCGCCGTGCGGATCCAGAATCAGTGCTATGTGGATATTGCAGATGACCGAAAGTTTTAGTGATGAAGTGATACATGAGACTGGCGCAGAGGTTAAGAAGCGTCCACTTGCCCACGAGCATGGTATAGTCATACAATGCATGCACTTCTTTTTTAAGAATGAAACGCTCTCACTGTTCAAAAGTTTTATGTAACATATTCTCCCACGAAATGTCGATGGCGAATAAGTTGCGTGCATTACAACACTAAAAGAGGACACATGTTTTGTTGGCTTAGGGCTTTTCAGTACTGCCGTGCGGGGCAGTTTGAGGGCAATTTGTGGGCACACTCCACGGTCTCTCAATTTTCGAACGGTCATTTTACGAATTTTACTTAAGTTACCAGTTCTCAATATACTCCTTGTCCTTACCGCATTGTCTCCTCGGAGTAAAAATTTCACCGCTCACTGTAGATGTTCACTCATCGTACGAACCATATGCAACGTCATGCAACCGGTAAACTGAGTTTGTACATCAGCTTTGTTTATTGAGGGAGTCAAATACGTCGTTTAATTCATTCGTAATTCTATTGAGCTTCAGACATCTTTCTTGTTGACAAGAAACAGCATGGTGCAGAAATGAGGATTCAAAAACCAAAGACGTCATTACCATGAAAACAGTGGTCTTTGGATTACCACGAAGAAGGGTCTGCTAGCTGTTATGGGGTCTCGGTCTCATTACTTATAACATAGGCATGACCATCAAGCTTCCAGTTTAAATGAAAGAGGCCTCCCAAAAATGAGACCAAAAATGTGCTCTTGACCTCCTTCCCACTGGCAGCGGGTCACTGCTCTCCTTCCCTGCTGTGCCCTCCTGGTCTCCATCTGCAACAAAAGGGCACCTGCAGATCTGCCAGGGGATCATACCGACATCTAAAGGAGCACCAGCCTGGAATTAAATAAGACACAGGCCTCATGGCTGAGCAGAGGCCACGGAGTGTCACGAGCTTTATCTGGAAGTGACCCCGCACCACGGACAAGGGATTTTGTCAGCTTAGTTGCCTCAGCGCTCCCAGAAACTTCTTCCATTTTGACTTGTATTTTTTTTACCTGTCTTTTTCCCTTCTAAGTATTGTCCTTTTCTTTGTTATCCGGTTGACTTTAATCCCTTTTGACTTTCGCGGCATTAACTTTTACTTTCTAACAGTCGTCTTTTGAATTCGGCACTCATGTTTGGATATTTTTGTTTATGTTATTTGACTTGTTGCCCTTCCGACATTTTGTTATTAAATTTTCATGCATTTGGCTGCCATCCCTTCTGACTTTTTGCATTTTAGCTTTATCGTTTTGACTTTTTGGAGTTAACTTTTTGTTATTTTGGCTTATTGCTATTTGAATTTTGCCCATTCCAATTTTATCTATTGGGCTTTTATCAATTTTGAGTCTTTGCTTTTTAACTTATACCTGCGATCTAGAAGCAGTCAAGCACGGCTTGGCTCGGATAACCGCATGGCATCATTTTTTGGGGGCAGTGGTATTGTCTGTGACATCCATTTTGCATTTCCGGACAATATTATGGGGTAACTTTGAAATCCGTCATCTTCATCGGGAGTTCTGCTTCATCCCGATTCCCGTGGTCAATGCATTTTGAAAAAAATGCTTCCTTCTTGTACAGTTGTAGGGAATTCAGTGACTCGGGATAAAATCAAACTTCCAGACTGCAAAGGAAGAGTGCATAGCGGTGTCCAGCAGAAAGTGGCACCATTTCGTAGTGCGCGGTCTTGCACATTTAAATTGAAACTGCTTTTGTAGGCTGGTCTTCATAACTGTGTTACGCCGATCAAAAACTAGCCAACATGAAAATTAAAATGGTTTGTATGATAAAACATACTTTCATTAAGCAAAAAATTACGCGCACCTCAGGCGCGCAACAACAAATTAATAACAAGCATGCATGTGGCGGTAGTATTAATAACATATGCATTTCTTACACCATATTTGCAGTAGATTCACCCTTGCCATAGAGCTTACAGCGAGTTCTTATATATTTAATAGAAGCCGTCTAGTTTTAACCTCAATTTCACACAGGTATTGGTGATTGTAAATCATTGATCACGAGCTTTAAATCATAATTGGATGTTTTGAGTAGCGTTGACTATACTCGTATCATTAATTATAACTGTTGGCGCCATGAAGTACCTGAATTGAAAACGTGGTATGATACCAAACTCAGACCGAAATTGGCACACATTACTCACGTGACACACAAAACTCGTAACTGAAATGAAATGGCCTTGCTTTACACGGGGGCTGCGACCCAAATCCAAGGACAAGAAAAAGAGGCATGCCGCGCAATATGGTCCCTTGACTTGATCCGTTAATGTAGCCGAACGGTTACTGCCCCGAAGAAACGAAACGTATATGTTTGCCATATAGAGCAGTGCATCTCCCAACACTAGAACCAGAGGTGCACAAACCCGCCTACTTGCGTACAGCCGTCTCCGGGCCTCCTCCGGGCCGCCAACACGAGACAGCCCCATTGAATTTGCATTGGCTTACGAGACAGGACGAAGGCAGCGTGAAGGAAGCGATGTAAGGAATTTGGGAGACGTGTTTGATGATGATATGAGGGTCTGTGGGGCGCGCCGACCACTGTGGTCCATTTCCGTCCACGATAGTTAGGTGACTAACGAGGTGGGGCAATGTCTAGAAATCCGATCTTAACCAAAAAGAAAACAGCTGAGTCATGAGAAGAACGCGAGAGTCGTCACCAATAGTCTCTGAATATGCAAGAGCTGGAGCATCTCGTCCGAAATACCGTAACCGCTCTTCGCTGAAATTTGTGCATGAAGAAAAAATGTGGTGAACTGTAAGTGGTGCATCGCAGCGAGGCCAGTGATGTCGTTCCTCACCGCGCAGAAAATAGCCGTGTGACGCGTGCGGGTGGCCAATTTGTACCCCGCAAACGACCTTTTCTTCTCGTCTCGCGTCGCGTGAGCTCGGCGGTCATAGCCTAACTGGGCTCAACAGCTTTCAACTTACTGTTCGCGGTGGCTTACCATAACGTTGCCATTTTCCTTTGATAAGTGTCGTGATGCTGTGGCAAAAGTTTCTGGTCGGCAGGGGCACAGTGCGAGTGCAAGGTGAGCCCGCTGCTCGTTTTGCCGCCGCGTTCGTCAGCTCACTACCTGCGATACCCACGCGGCTGGGCATCCAACATAGCACGACGGTTTTGCCCGCACGATCCAACGCTGTCAGGCCAATCAAAATGTCCTGTATAATGGGACACGGCGAGTTGAGAGCTGTCAAAGCCGATAAGCTGCTCAAGCAGTCGGAGAGGATCATGTGTACGCTGTCTTCGCCAACTTCGACGCAACAAAGGGCCTTATTTATGACGACGAGCTCAGACGTGTGCACAGAGGCGTTTTTGGCAACGAAAATGACTTGATGACTTGGCCGTTTGCAGACACAGACCCTTCTCCCGTCTCCGCTCTCGAGCCGTCCGTATATGTGGTTTGAAAGTCTGTGCACGAGGCAATGTGCTCCCAGCCCCGTAACTTCAGGCCGGTGTTTCAAACGCAGCGCATAAAACGTTTGGAAATCTAACCAACCGGCATAGCAAAACGTTTTGTGGATTGCCACATCGTGAGCTTGCCGTGGGGTGTCAGTGTCGTGTTGTGCTGTGTAGCTGTCGCTTCAGCGCTATCGACGGCAGGCCAAGTTTGAAGCCTGTCACCGTGTTAGAGGGTGGATGGTTGCTACATCACAGATGCATGGTGGCTACATAGGTCGCATGTTTCAGGGTGAACTTTGGCCTATA